GTTTTGCATCGACTTCTCACGATATGCCGCTTTAGAGCACAAACCACGTGACAAACTGAATGAACACAATGGTGTTGAAGATGATTCAGCTGTGTTTTTTAATGATGTTGTACACCGTGATCCCCAAATGAACCTGTGTATGAATTGTAAACATTCAGAGTCCTAACTGGTCTGTTTGGAAAGCAAACAGTGAAAATGGAGGCAAATCTATTGTATGACCTCTGGACCATGCACATCTGACCTGATTCACTCTTGCTTCAAGCCACTGATGGCACTAACAAAAGAAAGAAAGAGTTGAGTACTACTTGTCAACACGCTGGTATTTACTTACATCTAGATGCTTACAGAGATAGAAACTGGCTTCTGTTGATGGAAATTCTATACTCATGATGTTTCTCATCCTCAGGCAAAGTGAAAATCTAGCAAGACAGGTCTATGACTATGTCTGTAAATTGCACAACATGTCCTCATTCCAGTGGGACCAACTCCACTTGTGTTATTTTCTCTCAGAGTACAAGACCATAAAACCAGTGCAACTGGTTTCTGTGCGTTCTGGTAAGTAAGTATGAGTTTTTACTACTGTGGTGCGCTAGACTTTCTTGTTTTATGTAGTGTGTGCACACTGTGGGGATACATGGTTAATAAAAGTTCCCACTAAGGAGAGGCCCAGGCCCAATTTCAAAAAATCTCAATTTCTTTGAAATTGAGATTAACATATCCTATTGCAAAGTAGCAACAACAAGACACTAAACAACAACACAGAGACTAAGAAGGCTAGAAAGAGGCGAAAACTAGAGCCTGACTGAGGTATTCATCACATATTTAACAGTAGTGGCAAATATGTTGGGTCCAAAATGACCCAGTGTGAAAAAGTATACCCCCCCCTTTTTACAGAACATAATGTGAAATAATATTTTTAAAAAAGGAAAAGATCCTTGGAGTATTTTATAACTAGCTTCATCACTCTCAGCACAATTAGCTGTGTTTGAAGTCCAAACATTCAACACAAGCTGAAAAAGAGACTCAGCGTGGCTGCAGCTTGTTGCTATGTCAGCTTAATCACATGCCGGTCATGCGTTTTGGAGATGCGGCACACAGTGTGTTAATAACACTCACCATCATTCCACCTTCAAAGTGTTAATGCTACCTTATCTTAAACCTGTCTTAATAAACAACAATGTCATATGAAAAACTAGGGTGACACTAGGGGTGGCAAGAGATCATTTCAGGGTGTCACATGCCACCCCATGCCACCCCTCTGAATCCGCCCCTGGGTGGTGGAGACCTTCATCTAGAAGAAATGCTGTAAAACTTGTGAAAATACAGTTAAAAGAAAAAAATGCCCTCACTAACATCTTCTAGTGTCTCCTTAAACTGGTTGTGTTGCTTTCACGCAGAACAGTTACCCGGGGGTGTCCGTGTCCCATGATTTCTCTGTGATCTGGTCCCTGAAAGCCGCGGGTGCTGTGTGGGCAGCAGTAGCAGATTTCCGACGCTAGGGGGTGTAAAGAATAAAGGAGGGCTTTATGGAGGATTGGCTCTGACGTAAGAGACGTCGTAATTTCCACGATTCTTTTATTCGTTCAGAGAGTAGAGCAGAGAAAGCACGCCGCTCTGAGTCACACAACAGACACGCCGTGGACTCCTCGTGGCTGAGGCCGGCCTGAGCATCACAGCGACCGGCACATCAGACTGACGACAGAGGGGGCCGAGGGGGCGAGACGGGAAGCTTTGTGTGGCAGACAGAAGAGGAACCAGCTCAGCCAGCGATGTCAGGGCTGAAGAAGAGAAGCTCCAACTCGTCCGTGAACAGGGAGGAGGATAAGCAGGTCACTGAGAGGATGCTGTCCCCGGGTAGCGGCAGTGATAAGGGGGGCTTCGGTCAGGATGGAGCACCGGGAAGCGACCTCAGCAGCCCCGGCAACGTCACAGCAGGAGACGGAGCGGAGGAAGGGGTCGCCCTGAAGAGGACCATCACGCTGTTGAATGGCGTGGCCATCATCGTAGGCACCATCATCGGCTCGGGTATCTTCGTCACGCCGACAGGCGTAGTGAGAGAGGCTGGCTCTGTGGGTCTTTCCCTCATAGTGTGGGCGGTGTGCGGGGTTTTCTCCACAGTGGGCGCCCTCTGCTACGCGGAGCTGGGGACCACCATCACCAAGTCCGGCGGCGACTATGCCTACA